GATGGGAGGGGTTTGGGGCTGGTCGGGGTGACTGTATATGTTCAGGTGCTAGCATCTGGAGACATGTGTGCGTTATGTCCAGAGAAGAAGCATGCTTCCGATATTGCTGCGGTGCAAGCACATCTTCTGCGAGGATTGTGTGTCGGAATGGTGAGTTGGGTGGCATTGCAGTTGGTGGTTAGGATGGGGGGTGGGATGGGAGGGAGGGAGGTAGGAGGGATGGATGGGTGTTTGTGCGGTTGTTTGAGCGGTGTTGTGTATGAAGAAGATGGTATGGGTGGGGGTTGAGGAGGAGCGATGCGTGAACGTTGTGTGCGTGGTGTTGGATTGGCAGGTTCGAGAGGGAGCGAACGTGTCCGTTGTGCCGGGCCGTAGTGAAACCGGTAGGTCTGCGGTCGTATGGGGACGGATCGACGAGCCTGTTCATCCAGTTGTTTTAGAGGGCGTTGTGGAGGGAAACGACGGAAAACGTGTGCAGGAGCGAGTGCAGCCAAGGTAGGTGCGATGGGGAGCACGGCCATGGCGAGGCTGAGACGTTGGAGAGGCGGCTGATATTGCGCTGCAGTGGAGGCATTGAGTGGCTAGGGAGGGTGCCTAAGGAGTGGAGCGCTATGAAGAGAACAGCTGCATGGAGGAGAGGGTTAGGAGGGTGGGGGTGACGGGACGGGGAGGGGATGCCGGGGCGAGTCGCCACAGAGAAGGTCGCGGGTGTGATGGTGTGGCGACTCGTTGAACGTGAGTGACGAGTACGTCGCAGTGCGGGAATGGGTGGATGAGGGCCGTGCATGGGAACACGGGTGGGTGGAAACGAGTATGGTTCTTTGACGGGATGAGGATGCGATGTGCGTTGGACGGGGCGGGGAGGGAACACGGCTGCAAATGTTTGGGAAGGGTGGTATGAGAGGCGCAGGATGGTGGAGAGACGCAGCGGTGTTTGTGTTTGCGACGATGTTGGGTGTTGCACAGAAGGAGAGGTCGACGGAGGTTTTCGGGATGTGGGGTGGCGGTGTGGTTTGGTTGTGGAGCCGGACGGTCGGCCCGGTGGGAGTGGTGGAAGCGGAGGGGGGGAAGTGGCGAGGTCGCGAGCAGTGAAAGAGGTGCGGGGGGAAGTGGAGAAGTGGAACGGTAGGTGCACACAGGTGGCGATTGCAAATGCATGTTGGTACTCCGGGTGGGGAGTAGGGCGTGCGAAGAAAGTGGTGGAGAGGAAGGTGGGTGAAGTACAGAGTAATGGGTAATGAACTGCGTGGCGTATGGCACGCAGCGTGGAGGATGAGAGTGCGGTGGTGGGGGTTGTGGAGGAGCTGGTGTTGCTGGTGGAGGCGGTGGGAAAGATGAGATGTCGGAGGAGGTGTTTGGTGCGGGAGTTTGAATGGAGGTGAGAAGAAGGTGATTCTGATTATAGTTCAGAGGGCGTGAAGAGTCAGGAGGAGCATAGAAAAAGCATGGTGTGAAGTCACATCGCCGAGATTGGAAGCACAGTGGATGGAAGTGGGGAGAAAGAGATGGGGGTTTGTGGAACCTGATGCAAGGTCATGTGGTGAGGAGAGTGCAACGTCCATCGGAAGCGAGGCCTGGGACTGGTGACGAACATGAATGTGAGGTTGGATCGGCGGAGTGGCGGCTTGGTAGACTTGGGAGTGCTAGAATGATGGAGAATATTGTGTACCGTGGTGGAAGATTGGGAGAGAAGAATGGCATAGACAGAAAGAGGTGGTTGGAAGAGAGAGGGGGGTTGTGCAAGGGACCCTCACGGGAATAGGTCTACAGAGTTGGAAGTGAACATAGAAGAAGGAGCAGTGATGAAGGTCCGAGATGCGCTTGAAGGAGATTCATTGGAAGACGGTGTATTTGTACAACGTCTTAATTGGATTTTTGAGATGAAATAAGCTCTGTTGAGATCATATGATTTTGTTGGTTTTTGAGCTTGTGTGGGGAGTGGTGCTGGAGTTGTGAGGAAGGAGGGACAGAATTGGGTGCTAAGTTGTGGAGAATGGGATGATTCACATATGCACATGTCGTTGATGGTAGTGGGGGTTGTATTTGTCTGGATGCGAATGGAGCGATGAATTGTATTTTTGGGTTGTTTGCAAAGCTTGGATGGTTGTGGAGTGATATCTCATGTCGAGCACTGTTTGATCACATCTGTTGGGATTTGGTGGAAGAGTTGGTTTAGTATCAGTTTTGATTGTGTTATTTAACAGAACATTTGAAACATTGGAGAAGTGTTTAATTTTTGATGTTGCTAATGGCTTGAGATTAGTGTTTCAATGCTAGAAGTGAGAGACTACCATTTTTTTGACAGGCATCTTTAGAAGCGTTTTAGTATCACATTTGTTGTTTTTTTAGAGAAATGTCTGGTCACATAATAATTTGTCCTATTTATAGGGGTTTTAAAATTCCGATTTTTATTGATAGTATTATCTATTGTCAACTTCCAAATTTTTTACTATTTGGAGGTTTAGAAATGATATTGTAGGTGTTTAAATGGATTATTAAATTTAAGAGTCACATAAAAATGATTTGTGTAATATTTGAATGATATATGTGTGTTTAAATAAATTTTATTAATTTGATTTTGGAATATTGTTTAGAGAAATTATTATTGTTTTAGAAGAGTCAAATTTGTAATAATATGCAGAGAGGAATGTTAAATAGATCCAAGTTTTTATTAAATTCTGTGACCTATCCTAACCATCATGGAAACAAATAATGGTTTTTGGATTTATTTTTCCATTATTAGATTTACAACCAATAAAAATTCATCATGATCACCATATTCTTCAAAGGTGGGTCTATCTAGTAAGAGCATGGATCTATTTAACATTGCTCTATTTAAATGGATTAGTTAACTACATTGTATTGTTGTTTAGGTGTTTTAGTCTTGTTAGAACTATGGTTTTTAGCATTGAATATCTCATTAATTCCATTGAGTTTATAATTAGTAAAACAAGTTGGTATTTTATTTGAGACATCTTTAATTTTAGAAGTGGTTTATATAGGGTGTTTTAATACTCTTATTAGTTTTGTAAATGTTTTTGTATTTTGTAAATAAAATTGAAAGTAAGAGTATTAAATATAAAAATAAAAATAAGTATTAAAGTTTGGGAGTTCACCCTTAGATCATATGGAGTCCAAATTTGTAGTTTTTGAGTTGTTTTTATGTAGAAGATGCCTAAAGAATCCAATGGCATTCTTGATTTGTGAAGTGGAGATTATTTGGAGCATTAAATTGGCATTTATTCAATATTATTTTCTTTCTAAGCAAGTTTTTGATTTTGTTTCTTTTTTCTTATTTACTTTGTTGATTTTGTTTTTTTAATTGTCACAAGTATTGTATTTTATAACCATCAACCACATATGAGTGCTAGTTGTTCTAGTTTATTTTTGATTTGTGACCTATAATCTTAGGCAAATGTTGCCACATTTCACAAGCTGGAGGACATTTCTTGTAGCATGTTGAGAGATTTATTCCTAAGAAAAGCTAAGGATATTTCTTTGTCTGATTGGAAATTCATGTTTTAGATGTATATGAAAGAAAAGTGCAAAAGGTCTCCTACTTGTATTGAGTGGTATGCCTTTGAGCTACTATGATAATATTTGGAGCATGAGATGCTCCAAACTTATGGAAGGTAGACTAAAGAATATTTACTTGAATTGCAAGAAATAGAGCATTATTGGGAGGCAAGAATAGAACTTATTCCAACTCTTAAAGAGGGTGTTATTTCAAGTATAATACCTACAATAAAGGAAGAAGATCCACTCAAAGCAAAAGTTAGGACATCTTTGGAAGAAATCAATGGAAAAGAAGCAACAATGACCTTAGACAACACTCGACCTATTTTATTGCAAATGGTTCAAGCATTAAAAACAACTTTGTTTGTAATAGGAAAGCCACCATCATTTAAGTTCTTCTAGATATTTATTTAATACTTGAAGAATGAATATGGAGATTTTAGGTGTGACTAAATGTAATGCATTCAAGATTCTTGACGTGAAAAAGGAAGATATTCTACATACCATGTATACTCATTTGGCTTGGTTTGTAGTTGAATCAAGTGATGTATTTGTTGAGAGTCAACTTGTTAAGATTTTTTTTAATTTAAGATCGATAAGTAACTTTTGGACTTAGCGACACCAAGAAATATTTTCAACTATGATGGCAAGGCAATGTTGGTTTAAGCATTTTCTAAAGTTGAAAAATTTGATAGGACCCTTTATGAGTATGGTGCTACTAATATGATTGCTTGGATGACGAATTGGCTAAGCCTAAGAAGTTTGTAAGTGCCATAAGTAGCTTAGCAATAATTAAATTTAAAAGAACTATATATTATTAGGGATATGGTGAATCTAGTCACACCGTAAATAATTCCAATTGTCCTAAAAAAAAAGATGGTCCAACATATAGAGAAGTTTGGGAAAATATATATATATATTAAGATTGGAGAGAATTCTAAAAAAAAAAATTAGAATATACTCATTGTGGTAAATTCAACCACATTGAGAATAATTGCTTTATCTTGCATTCAAATAAGTAGCTTGTTTTGGATAAAGAAAAAGTCTTTAAAGTTAAATTGCCAAATTGAAAAAAGAGTCAAAATTTGTGGTCTCATTAAGCCAAGTCATTGAATCTCATATGAATTCTATAGCTAGAGTAAATTCTTATACTCTCCATAATTATATGTTTGGTACATTACAACAATTGGTTGCTGCAGCTACTATATGTATTCAAACAACACCAAAGAATATGGCACTTGCTATAAGTTAGGTATTAGAAACCTTATTTGGTAGTCAAAGGAATTGTAGAGATCCTAATACTCATGTTAAGAGTGTGTTGGTTGTACATTTGCATTTGGTTTAAATTGCATATATTGTGATTTGTTTGTAGCACTTGATGTGTTGTGTATAACAATCTTTGTTTACATGACATTACTTTTACAACCAAGAATCTTAGATGAAGGATATAGAAAGAAAAGAAAAAATAAATAAAAAAAATAAAAAAAAAGAAAAAACTATATAGTAATTAGTAAAAAGTGTGTATCCAAACATCAATGTGTAATTCTTGGTAAAAAAACTACTTTGTTGCTAACAATATATTTCTATTAAAATTGATATTCAATTGGATTTATATATAACTAAGTTAATTGTAATATAACTTAAAAACACCAGAAGTTGAGAAAGATGTGATTAAACTTCAATGAAAGAAGTTATTGTGTGGAGATTACTGTATTGTAAGGAAATAATAAGAATGAAAAAGATGTGTTTATGTGTTGACTAAAAACATCTTCTGCATTTGAAATTGCAGTCAACAGAGTTCCAATTAATTTATGGATCCAGGCTTAAAGTCTCATCTTTTGTTTCTTCTTCATAGCCTTTAATTGATACATCATCTAAGAAAGATATTGTTATTCTTGATATAAAATCACTTAATATCTTATATATTCTATTCAATATGTGTCAAGGACAAGAACTCGATGAAAAAGCAATTCTGACAAGTGAGCTTTTACTCTAAGAAAGGTAACAAAATATAAATAAACAAGTATGTATATTGACCTTGTTATCTATTATGTTCTTTTGTAACAATCATTATAAGTATTGAAGCACGTGGGTTGCAGTATTCCAAGCAATAAAGACATCCATAGTATTTAAATTTCAAATAGAGAATTTAATATTGATGAAACTTATGACTTCCTAATAAAATAAAAATAACTTAAGTGATTGTTTAATAAGATTCATGTTTAAAAAAATTAAAAATCTATCAAGTTTTAATATTACATAGTTAATATTTCATGTTGTTGGAATTCCTTTGTCTTTTGAAGGAATGTGTCAAGGACAAGAACTTGATGAAAAAGCAATTCACTCAAAGAAAGGTAACAAAATATAAATAAACAAGTATGTATATTGAATGAGAAACTAGAATGGCTATTGCCAAAAGACAAGAAAACTAGAGACCCTTGAAACTAGAGTGAAAGCAAGTAAAGAGTTGACAAGAGTGAAGAGGGCTTCATTCTTGTCTCTATATATACTATCTAATTAGGGGCTATGTGGCGATGTTCTATAGGACCTCCAATATGTGTTGACTTTGTAGGACACATGCCTTGACTTACAAGGCAAAGTTTTTCTACGTGTGGGCCACATAGTTAGCTTGATCTTTAAGCTAACAATATTTGTGGCACATGGCTAACTTGTTGACCACGTTTCTAATCCAAAAAATCAATTAAAGACATCTATGAAGTCAAAGTAGCATCTATGAAGCTTCTAGGAAGCTTCCATATTAAATACTATAGACTTAACTTACTTTTACCTACTTTTACTTACTTCCACCTATTTGTATATGTAATTACTAACTTACATGAGTATGTCTCTGACATTACCCCCCCTTCTAGAGACGAGTTCCACGAGGAACGGTCATCATATGTTGAAAAAATCTATGATGCAACGAATTATATTTGCCACATACTCTGATCTTTGCTCTCTTTGAAGATGATTGATAGGGCCTCTCAATCATCGGTAGTGTCCCATACCAAGGTGGAAAGACCACCCAGTTATTTGATGATTATTTAGGCCTTCATAACTTCCTTCGAATAGAACATTTGAAACACTATCAAGAGTTGTTCCTACTTCTAGCAAAATCACCAAACATTGGGAGTCCCTTCCCAAATCGTGATACCAAATGCATTGTATCTCGCCATCTATTCGAGAAAAAATATGTCATTCTTGAAGATCTTCATCTCGATTACGTCATCTTGAAGGTTGTGATAATCGTAATGTCTCATCCGACAGGTCAACAAATGAAGGCTCTTGAGTCGAATTTGCTGGTTGTTGGTTCTCCATCTCCTAAGCATCACAACTATAAAGAAGCTATGAACAAGGATTGAAAGTAGAATGTTATCTTGCCTAGATG